CAGAGAAACCCTGTCTCAAAAAAACCAAAAAAAAAAAAAAAAAAAAAAGTTGATATTTGTGTGTGTGTGTAGTATGTGTGTGTGGTGTATGTGTGTGTGTGGCGTGCATGTGTGGAGTGTGTGTATATGTGTGTGTGATGTGTGTGTGGTGTGTGTGGTTGTGTGTGTGTGTGGTGTGCGTGTGTGGAGTATGTGTATGTGTGTGTGTGGTGAATGTGGTGTGGTGTGTGTGTGGTATGTGTGGTTGTGTGTGTGTATGGAGTGTGTGTGTGGAGCATGTGTATATGTGTGTGTGTGGTGAATGTGTATGTGTGGTGTGCATGTGTGTGTAGTATGCATGTGTGTGGTGGGTGTGGTGGGTGTGTGTGTATGGTGTGTGTGTGTGTATGGTGTGTGTGTGTGTGGTGTGTGTGTATGGTGTGTGTGTATGGTGTGTGTGTATGGTGTGTGTGTGTGCACATACAGGGTGCAGTCAATGTCATACAAATGGAGAACAGGAGAACAACTTGCCTAACCCTGCCCTCTGCTTCCACCATGTGGCTTCTGAGCATTGAGCATAGGCTGTCAGGGTTGGCAACAAGTGTGTTTGCTCCCTGAGCCACATCACTGGCCCAGACTGTTTATTTGAAGGACTTTGGGGCAGGGTAGAATGAACTCCTCAGCCTCAGATTAAAGTACAGGCCTGTCTCAATTCCTGCCTGCCAGCAACAACTCAGACCAGCCACTCACTGGCCTGCTCAGCCCATCACATCCAATCAAGGTATCTAAAACACATTCTGTACACACACACCACACACACACACCACACATACACACACATGCACACACACCACATACCACACACACACACACACACACACCACACACACACACACACATACACCACACACACGTGAGCACCATGCACACACACACACACAACATACACGCACACACCACATATATATCACACATACACCTATACACCACACACACACACACCACGCACGCACGCGCGCACACAGCCCACTGGAAACTGGCCTTCACATCTACCCACACAAGATGGACCATAGAACTTCAACCTCCTTTGGAGGACTAGCATTGAATTTCAGATTAAAATGCCCTCTGCTTCTAGAACATTGGGCTAGAGACCCTGACCTCTGGATATCTCCAAGTGACTACACTTAACCTCCAGGTCAACAGCCTGCCCTGGACTCTGGTGAGGCCCAGAGACAGTCATAAAGAAGCGGACGTCTACCCTCTGGTGGCCAGTTCTAGAAGAGCAGCCTTAGTAGCTCCGCCGTTGGATCCCTAGTCTACCCAAGGCGGTGTAGGCCTGAACTCTTGGGGGGTTACCTCTGTCTGGTCCCTTCCAGTCAGCTCTCACACAGAACCTGTCCTCCTTGTCTGTCTTTTCACTCTGCAACTCTCATCTTTTCTGGCTAAGATTTATTCCCCTGCAGCCCATCTCCCGTGGGCGCCCACAAGACCCCAAGGCTTAGTTGATTTGATGCTAACACTTGAGATCACAGAGCCCTGTGTCTCTCAGACCCCAGCATTCTACTCATGCTACACACACGCTCTTGGTTTGTTGTTGTTGTTGTTATTGTTTGTTTGTTTGTTTAGAGTCAAGGTCTCCCCTGTGGGCCAGATTAGTATTTTTCTGATTTTTGGTTTTGATTTCCCCCCTTGCCTCTGAGGCAGGGTTTCTCTATGTAGCCCTGGCTGGCTTTGAACTCACAGAGGGCCTCCTGAGTGCTGGGATTAAAGATGTGACTTCCATTGTCTTCAGTCACTCCTCTGCATAGCCCAGGCTGGCCTGGAACTTGCTCTGTAGACCAGACTGTCCTCAAACCCAGAAATCCACCTGCCTTTGTCTGTCTCCCATGTGCTGGAATTAAAGGGGTGAGCCACCAGGACTTTAGAGGCTTGCTGAGCCACATCTTGAGGTAAACAGATCTCTGTGAGTTCAAGGCCAGTCTGGTCTACAGAGTGAGTTCCAGGACAGCCAGGACTGCGTAGAGAGAGCCAGTCTAAAAAATAAAAAGTGAAATTTGGGGCTGGAGAGATGGCTTAATTAGCCAAGTGCTTGTAACACAGGCTAATGAAGACCCGAGTTTGGATCCCCAACAGCCGTGTAAAAAGCCAGGCGTGCTGACATAGTCCGTGATCCTAGCAATGGGGAGGCAGACACAGGAAGATTTGGCTAGTCTTGCCAACAAGTGAGCTCTACGTTCAGTGAGAGACCCTGTTTCAAAAACCAAAGCTAAGAGCAATAGGGAAAGACTCCCGACCCCATCCTCTGGCCTCCACAGGCATGCACAACCATGTGCTTATGCACTCTCACACACATACACATACAAGACACACATATGAAGTCAAATGAACCATTTTACCAAAGTCGCATCTTTTCAGCATACATTATCAAAGACCTGGGGGGGGGCAGTTCCTGTCTGTAGTCCTAACTGTTGGGAGGCTGTGGTGTAATATATAGGACCATCACAAATCTTGAGACCAGCCTGAGATACACAGTGAGTTCCAGGTCAGCCTGGGCTATACAATAAGACCCTGTCACAAAAATCCAAACAAAACAGTCAATATTAAAATGAGGGGTGATGACTATGCCTTCCGTTGGTAGAGTGCTCATCCGGTATGAACAAAGCCCTGGGATCAATTCCCCCGGCATGACAGAAACCAAGCATGGTGGTCCATGGTGGTCCAGTCTAGGACTTGGGAGCAAAAGGCAGGAGGATCAGAAGTTCAAGGTCATCCCCAGCCTGTGCTCTCCCTTGTAGTGAGATGTCAACCCCACCCCCACCTGTTACACTGACTACGTCTATTGGGGCGTGGGGGCTAGGTCTGGGGTCTGAGACCCCAGCTCGCTCTTACTTCCTGGTTGGAGACAGATAGCATGGGGGTGGGCATCCTTGGAATGGGAACCTGCGGCGGTCATCTCTTTCTGGTGTAAGTGATTTCTCCCCGAATAAACATCTATCAGCCTATATTGTGTCCCAGATTCTTGTTTCCCATGCAATTCCTCCTCTATGGCCTCTCCAGCAATCCTGGAGCAATCCTGTGTAGACCAGGCTAGCCTCAAACTCACAGAGATCTGCTTGCTTCTGCCTCCTTGAGTGCTGAGATTAAAGGTGTGTGCGGCATGCTGCCTAACATATATGTAAACATGACTAATGAGTATTGTGTGCCACCTTCACACTGTTTTCCATTCAGAATTCATGTTTCTCAATTTGTGTGCATGCGTGTGTGTGTGTGTGTGTGTGTGTGTGTGTGTCTGTGTGTTAATATGTGCATTGTGAAAACCAGAGGAGAATATCAGATTCCTTGGAGCTGTAGTTACGGGCAGTATTTATTTATTTATTATGTATACAATGTTCTGTCTGTGCATCAGTAGAGGGCTCCAGGTCTTATTACAGATGGCTGTGAGCCACCATGTGCATGCTGGGAATTGAACTCAGGACCTGTAGAAGAGCAGCCAGTGCTCTTAACCTCGGAGCCATCTCTCCAGTCCCAAAGTGGGTCCTCTGAGCTGCCGAGCTGCTCTCCAGCCCTGTGTTTCCTGGCAGCCTTGCTTCAGGCATGCAGAGGTCATGCTGGGCTGGAGGCTTGTGTGACTGAGGCAGAATTCTGGAGCCATGCTGGGTGCTCAACGGGCGCTTGATATGAATGAAGCACACAGAGGGGAAAAGAGCAATGTAGGAGTGACGTGAGGGGTGGGAGGGGTATGCACTGCCAGGCCTTGGGGGCCTCACGCCCAGCTCTTCTGATGCCCAACTGTGTCCTCTAGGGCCCCGGAAATGTCACCATCGCCCCAGAGAAGCGCCAGGCCAGCCCAATCAGCAGTTTCTCAAACCCCCCCCCCCCCCCGGCATCTTTTTGCCTGTTTAATCCCTGTGTGCCTTGCCGACCAAGGCTGGGCCTCTGTATAGCCAAATCTGCCTGTTCCATTAAACAGTCAGGATCAGGGCCAGCTAGCCTAAGTGGTAGCGTGCTGACCTAGCACTGTAAGCACCGGGCATGGTGGCATGTCAGTTAATCCCAGCGCCTGGCAGGTGGAGGCAGGACTATCAGGAATTCCAAGCCAGCCTTGGCTACATAGCGAATTTGAGGCCAACCTGGGCTACCTGAAACCCTGTCTCACAAACAAAGACAGTTACTAACTCAGGTTCTTCAGGGTAAAAAGCAAAGCTTCCGCAGCGCCCACTTCGCTCACCAGACTTCTGCTCATTCTCCAGCCACTCATACTGCCTCCCCACAGCTCTTCATGCCTCCTGGCATGCTGCCTCAGGGCCTTTGTAACTGCTGCCTCCATCCCAGGACCGTCCTCTTTAAAGGAGCTGGCCACTCCGCTTCTCTGGGAGGCCTTCTCTGGCCAACAGGGTCTTGCTACGTAGCTCTGCTAACCTTGAAATGGCTGTGTGGGTGCAGACCATGCTGGTCTTGAACTCCCAAAGATGCACCAACCTCTGCCTCTCTAGTGCTGGGACTAGTGGTGCATAACACCATACTCAGTGACCTTTATTATTTTTATTTTATGAGGCAGGGTTTTTCTGTCCTGGAAGTAGCTCTGTGGACCAGGCCTGCCTGTGCCTCATAAGTGCTGGGATTAAAGGTATGTGCTACCACCCAGCTAACTTTGATTAGTGTTAATTATGGTTTTAATTATGTGTAGGTGTGTACACACACACACACACACACACACACACACACACACATACACGTGCAAGCACCTGAGAAGGCCAGAGATATCGGATCAGCTGGAGTTACAGACAAGCATGAGCTGCCGCTTCTCCAGCCCCAGTTGCTCAGTAGCCCTCTCTTTACCCATAGAAGAGAAAATGCCAGCTGGGGCATTGGTGGCGTACGCCTTTAACCCCAGCACTCGGGAGGCAGAGCAAGTTCGAGGCCAGCCTGGTCTACAGAGCAAGTTCCAGGACAGCCTCCAAAGTAATACAGAGAAACCCTGTCTCAAAAACCAAACCAAAACAACAGAGAGTGAGAGAGAATTTGCCAAGTAGCAGCTGTAAGCAACTGTTAACAACTTTATTTCCAAAGACAAAGCCTCTCCTAGGGCTTGAGGCCTGAGGTGGAGGCTCTGAGCAGAGTGGCAAGGCCAGGCAGGACAAGAACAGGAAGGCGGGACAGCCTGCGAGGCGGGCGGGCTCTGCAGCCTTACACAGGCTCCATCTGCAGCTCCTCTCCATCTGCCGGCTCTATCTGGTGCAAGGCAGCATGGGAGCCGATGATCACCAGGGTGGCTCCTACAGGAGGATTGGTACTTCAGGATGTGCTCCCTCACCTGACTCCCAACCTCGCCCGACCCAGACCCTTTACTCACCCAGGACCCAGAAGACAGCAGAGCCAGCCCCCGCCAGCCAGAAGAAGGGGAAAGAGACTCCGCCAGCCAGGGCGTACTGATGTGCTGGGCTCACCTCCCGGCCTGGGGACAGACGGTGTTGGGCAGCAGTTTCCACCTGACTCTTTCCCAGAGGTAACCAGAGGCACCCTCCACCAGTCTAGTGTCACAGGCTCTGGAACCTTCTATGTAATAATAGCGACTCCTCACATCAGGCCTCCCACCCCTGGCCCTGCCCTACTTCCCCAAACATAACCAGAGCGTAGCCCCCAACCTCAGCTCCAGCTCTGTCCTCTATCCCCACCCCCACAGGAGCCCCAGGCCACTTGTCTCACATGAGGCTAGCCTCATGTCCCCGCCTGGTTACCAGGAGTCTCAGGCTTGCGGCCCCATAGCCGGGTCTGACCTAAGGGCTAGCCTCATGTCCCAGCCTGGTAACCAGGAGTCTCAGGCTTGCGGCCCCATAGCCGGGTCTGACCTAAGGGCTAGCCTCATGTCCCAGCCTGGTAACCAGGAGTCTCAGGCTTGCGGCCCCATAGCCGGGTCTGACCTAAGGGCTAGCCTCATGTCCCAGCCTGGTAACCAGGAGTCTCAGGCTTGCGGCCCCATAGCCGGGTCTGACCTAAGGGCTAGCCTCATGTCCCCGCCTGGTTACCAGGAGTCTCAGGCTTGCGGCCCCATAGCTGAGTCTGACCTAAGGGTTTTTATCTGCTTTTTATTTTTTAATTTTTAAATATTTTATTTATTATTTTGAATTATGTGTATGTGCCCTGTGTGGCTGGCTATATGTGCACAAGAGTTCATGTGCCCAAGGAGGCCAGAAGTTGGATGACAGCTGGCCATGAGCCAGTCACCTGACTTGGGGACTTGGGTTCTGGGAACCAAACCTGGGTCCTTTGCAAGAACAGAATTCAATTTTAATCACTGAGCCATCTCTCCAAACTGTTATTTTGAGGTTTAAAACTTGAGACAGGGTTTCTCTGTGTAGTACTGGCTGTCCTGGAACTCTGCCTTGTACACCAGGCTGGCCTTGAACTCACAGAGATCTGCCTGACTCTGCCCCCCCCCCCCCTGTGCTAGAATTAATGGTGTGTGCAACCATGCCCAGCTCTCATTTTGATTTTTTAAGACTCTGAATCCCAGGCCTGGTTACAGCAATCCTGTTTCAGCCTCCCTAATGCATGAGCCAGAACTTGTCTTTGAAGTGTTTCACAAGAATCTGGTTTGTGGGATCTGGAGACGGTCGGGCAGTTAAGAAAGAGCACTTGCTGCTCTCCCAGGGGGCCTGCCTTCTGGGTGCTTAACAAAGTTTGTAAGGCTAGGGCATGGTGACGCACTCCTTTAATTCTAGTACTCAGGAGGCAGAGGCAGGAGAAATCTGTGAGTTGGAAGCTAGCCTGGTCCACATAGTGAGCTCCTGGCACACCAATGCTACATAATAAGACCCTATCTCAATTTCCTGCCTGGAAATTGTGTATGCTCTAGTGACTACCAACCATCTGCCAAGGCCAAGTTATGTGTGCTTCAGGCCCTTCTCTGCCCCAGGCCATCTCCTTGTACCTGTCTGGGCCCTGAAAGACTGTCATAGGTCTCCTTGGCAAACCTGGGATTTACCCTTAGTGGGTCTTCCCTGACATGTCTCTTCCCGGTGGACCTACAGGTCTCAGTTTCCGCCTCTGGAAATACCCAGTATCTTTCCAGTTCAGCCCTGGGATGGAAAGCATGGGAAGGCAGACTGATAGATCTAGGCCTGCATACGGTCGCCACCTGGTGTCCAGTGTGGGTACCTGCAGCTGATGCTTTCCCAGGCGTTTGGGAGGGATTGGGAGCACTGATTCATTTTACAGGAGACAGAGGAGCCAGCGGGTCCTGGGATCTCTCTGGGTTTGGGGAGCTGAGAGACTGGAGGGGATCACCTTAAGAGGGCTAAGTTTAATGACTCTAGTGTACATCTCGGTGGGGCCGACTCCAGTTCCAAATATTCGGAGGTTTGTATTCTATGAGACCTGGGGATCCATTTGGGCAGGGGATTTCTCACCAAAGAGCACAAGCTTAGACTGCAACGTGCGCAGATAGAGAATGTAACAGGCGCCAAAGAAGACAGCCAGAGCCACCAGCAGCATGGGGGAGGTCACCCTGGAAGAGTGTGGAAGATAGGAGTCAGGCATCTGAAGCTGTGTGAGCTGGGCACCTCTGGCCTTGGACATCACAAGTGGCTATACTGCATCCTGGGTCGGGTGAATTCAGGAATACTGACTGACTTGGTCCTTTGGTGACAAGGGGTGGGCACAGCTAACTCGTAGGGGCGGGGCGGGGCGGGGCCTGACTATGGAGGGCGGGGCTGCAGAGGCACTCACACGCAGTAAAGGATGAGGCCCAGAAACACGAACACGTAGTTGCTTTGGTAATACTCCACGTTGCGTACCAGGCGCTGGCAAAGCTCGCCCAGGTTGCGGGGTCGCGAGAAACGTTGCTGATCCACGAAGACGCCCCAAGGCCGGATGGTCGCGCGGCGCCGCTCCAGCCACTCCCGACCTGGGCCGGAGGGAATCAGCTTGGGCAGCAGGGTCCTGAAAGGGCGGGCCAGGTCAGCTGCAAGCAGTAACGAGGGCCGGGACCCCAGATCCCAGCACACATGATCCCAAAGGTGACCTGAAACTCCTAGGGGGAAGGGTCCTGAGTCCCCGAAAAGGAGAGCTCTAAGCCTGGGGGCCGGGACGCCTGCATCTCGGGTATGGGGGTTACACCCTGCTCGCTCACGTGGCGCTCAGCCCTTCCACCTCCGCATCCTTCTGCTGGTCCTTCTGGGCCGCCATGTCTACACTGGGTGCGTAGAACCGCTGTACAAAGCCCCGAGCCCCGCCGCACCCAGACGCCCAGCCCGAGCCGGGACTCTCCGGACTCTCCGGACGTGGCGCCGCTTGGCACCCTAGGGGGCGGTAGTTGCGTCTCCGAGCATTGTGGGAGTTGTAGTAGGTCTGGCTCGCAAGACACCTTGGGAGAAGTATTCTAAGAGCGCGGCATTATGGGAACTGTAGTTTCAGAGCATGGAGTCCAGCAGGTGGGTTATCAGGATTGGGGGGGGGGGGGTTTCATTGGAGTTCGAGCAGCAGAAGCAGGCGTTCTGCATGATTCCGTGGACCATACAGAGCTGTCATTCTGACTCCAGAGGGCTTACTAAAACGTTGGCAGCAGCCTCTGATTCTGATTGGGCTAGTCTGGGATGGAGTTCATTTATTTTTTCTTTCCTTAAAAACAAACAAACAACCCCGGGGTGGGGGGGAGAAAGAAAAAGAAAAAGAAAAAGAAAAAAAAAAAAAAAAAAAGTGCGGTGGTGACGCAGGCCTTTAGTTCCAGCACTAGGGAGGCAAGTGATCTCTGTGAGTTCAAGGCCAGCCTGTTCTACAGAGCTAGTGCCAGGACAGGCTCCAACACTACACAAAGAAACCCTGTCTCTAAAAGAGAAACAAAAAAATTCATAGGGATTGGAGAGATGGCTCAGATGTTAAGAGGCTTCTCTTCCAGGGGGTCGTGAGTTCAATTCCTAGCAACCATATAGTGGCTCACAACCGGCTGTAATAAGATTTGGTACCCTCTTCTGGTGTGTAGGCATACATGCCAGAACACTGCATACATAATAAATAAATCTTTTTTTGCAAATAAATAAATATTAAAGTTAAAGAAACCCCCCCACTTGAAATGAAGGACAGACTAACCTGGAAAGCTAACCCAGACCTATATCTGTTTCTTGGAATTTGCTAATTTCCCCTCACAAGGCCCTGAGATAACAAGATACCAATAATTCACACTGCCCCTCCTTTCTTGTGAGTCAGCAGGTGGTGAATAGGGTCCTTAAGAAACAAAGAGATTACTGCACCTCCAGTTTGCCCAGACAAGATTAATTAGCACACCCCAGGCCCTAAGGTCTGGTGACCCTAATAGGGAGACCATCAGGCCTCAAAGGGTCACGTCCTCAATGGACAGAGGATCCCACCCCCTCCCTAAGCTTGTGGGTTTTGACTTTAAAAACATCTCTGTCCGGGGGAGGGGCTTCTCTCTGGCATGTGTGCTGAGGGAGCCCATTTGCCCAAACGTTTCCTGTTCATTAAAGCCTCTTGCGTGTTGCAGCAACTGGACTGGACATTGAGTTCTTGGGGGGTACCGACAGAAACTGGGAGACTCCTCATTCTGAGGGTCTTACAGTGTGTGTGTGTGTGTGTGTGTGTGTGTGTGTGCCTGAGGAGGCCAAGAAGAGGGTATTACATCCCCTGAACTGAAGTCACAGCCAGTTGTGAGCTGTGCAAAACACATGTGCTGGGAACTGAACTCTAGTCCTCTGGAAAAGCAGCAAGCACACTCTTAACTACTGAGTCATTTCTCCAAACACTTTTTTTCTATTTTTATTTTAAAAATCTGTTTTATTTCTTTACTTTTCCGAGATAGGGTCTTTCTACACAGCCCTGGTTGTCCTGGAACTCGCTCTGTAGACCAGGCTGGTCCCAAACTCACAGAAATTCTCCTATCTGACTCTTGAGACGTGTTACTACCACCAGGGTTTTCTAAATGACTTTTATTTTATGTGCGTCGGTGTTCTGCCTGCGTGTGTCTGTGTGAGGTGTTGGATCCCCTGGAACTGGAGTTACAGACGGTTGTGAGCCGCTGCCGTGTGGCTGCTGGAAGAGCAGTTGTGTTCTTAGCTTTGGAAGCCTCTCTCCCTCGCCTTTGTTTTCGGGTTTCAATAGGGTTTCTCGGAGCCCAGCATGGTCCGGGACTTGTTTTATTCCTGCTCCTGCTGCCTCCGTTCACCTCAGTCTGGGTTGCAGATTGGCCACTCAGCAGGGAACTGTGTTCAAGTGTCCCACTTGGGGTCCAGCTTTGCTTCAGAAGATCCGCGGAGGACTGCGGATGTACAGTTAGCCCAAAACACCGGTGCGGGAAAGTGCAGAGACAGAATCTTGGGAACCAGCGTGGTGGCAAAAACAGAACATTTGGAAAGAGTGAGGTTTGATGCTGTCCCGGGAACCACTTAGTTTCCTCATGAAGACCAACTGGAAGCTTTCGTGACCCTCAAGGGTCATCAGAGATGGAGAGCTGCCACGCTGCCCGGCGGGGCTTCCGGGGAGGGCAGCGGGATCCCAGAGCAAGGGTGTTGCAGAGAGGGGCAAGCCAACTGGGAGGGCGCAGGAGCCTCGAAGAAGGAGTTTCAAGATGGCGCTCTGGGCATCAGGGCAGTTGGGAAAGGAGCTGGAGGTGGAGATGCGGTGAGGGAGGGGAGGGGCAGGTTCCTGAGAGAGGAGGCCTGTGGTAGATAGGTTCTGAATCATGGGAGGTAGGAGATGATGGACATCTGAGAATATTGGGGGAGACGGGGCTTGGATCTGTGTTCTCCCTAGTGGTTACTTAAAAAAAAAAAAAAAAACCCAAATATTTCTTTCTTGTAAAAACATTTTTCCCTGTCTCGAAAAAAATTATTTTAAAAATGATTTATTTTGTGTACAGTGTTCTGACTGCAAGCCAGAAGAGGGCACTGTATCTCATTAGAGAGGGCACTGTATCTCATTAGGGGTGGTTATGAACCATCATGTGGTTGCTGGTCATGTGGTTGCTGGGAATTGAACCTTGGTTCTCTGGGAGCTGGTGCTCTTAACTGCTGAGCCATCTCTCCAGGCCCAACTTATTTTTTTTTTAATTAACTATTTTATTATTGTACTTTATGTGCATATGTGCATCGGTGTTTTGACTGTATGTATGTCTGTGGGTGCTGGGAATTGAACCTGGGACCTCTGGAAGAGCAGTCAGTGCTCTCAACCGCTGAGCCATCGCTCCAAACCCCTAACGGTTACTTCTTTGGCCTCTTGAGTTTCCAGAGCAAGTGGCACTAGGAGACTAGGAAGATGTTGCATAAACCCGAGACCCGACCCGGTCCATAAATGCCTGCCGCGTGACTGCACGGAGGCCCCTCCCCTTTCTGTGTTGTGCTGTGCCCACCCATCTAACCAGATGTTTCTCCCTGGCACTAGATGAACTTGTGGGTGACCCAAGAGAGGCCTTGGCCCATGCAACTCCTCCCAGGACCATTCTGTCCTGATACCGCCAGAGGTCACAGTGCATAGGGCTCCAAGGGTGACCTTGAACCCTTGCTCTGCCTGCCTCTGCCACTGGAAGGTAGCCAGCTTTTATTTTTCTGTTTCTTTATCTCCACCTCACTATGCAGCCTAGGATGTATGGCCTCAAACTTTTGATCTATTTGTCTCCAGCTCACGAGTGCTGTAGGATCACAGACGTGTGGCCCTACAGCTAATTTATGTATGCCTTGAGTCAGAGCCGGAGCTTTGATGGCCAAGTAGTCTACCACCTGAGCCGCACCCCAAGCTCATGATCATGACTACTTTGAAAGCTTTCTGTTATTTATCTTTGTGTGTGTTTCTAGGCACAGTGTCTGTGGAGGTCAGAACAGCTCTCAGGCTGGCCTCAAGCTCAGATCTTCCATCTACCGTCTCTGGAAAATGGGGATTATGGAAAACTGAGATCAAAGGCATATGCCACCACACTCAGCAACAGATGGCTGTCTGGTGTACTGACAAGTGTACACACTCACTCATAGGCGTACCCAGCTCCTATCACCTCCTTCAGCCTGCACGCCAAGGGAAAAAGTTTAACTACCCAATCAGAATAGCTAAAATTAAAATGATTGCCACTGCCACCTAGTGGCAGCAATGTGGAATAGACGGTGTGGGGGCTGTTATGGGATGCAAAATAATCCAATGCATGCTAGGTTCTGAAGTTTCTATTAAACAGCCTGAGAAGTAGATGTGGTGGGACATGCCTGTAAACCTAACATTTGGGAAGCTGAGGTAGGAGGATCAGTGTAAATACGAGGCCAGTCTGATCTACATGGCAAGACCCTCTAAACAAAAAATAAAAACTAAGCAGGGTGGTGGTGGTGCACACCTTTAGTCCCAGCACTCGGGAGGCTGAGGCAGAACTCTGTGAGTTCAAGGACAGCCTGGTAGACAGAGTGAGTTCCAGGACAGCAAGGACTGTTACACAGAGAAACACTGTCTTGAAAAAATAAATAACAAAAATCCAAAAAGCAAAAAAGAGGCCAGTCTGTGCTGCATATCAGCATCCTGTCTCTAACTAACACCAAACAAAATGAATAATAAAAAGACGACTGGCTGTTTCTTTCTATTCCCAGCAGTCCCAACATGGACACAATTCCAACATGGATCAACAGGGACCCAATTAAAGAATATGTGTTAGAGTCACACCATGAATAGAGCAGTGATGATGCATGTGACATCATGGAGATGTTCATAGATGTATTTGAGTCATAAGCATGAAAGGATTTGCTGTAAGGTTTCATTTGTATGAAGTTCAAGAATGGACATACCTGCCTAGAATCCCCCAGTGAGGAGCTGGGGTGTGGCTCAGTGGTAGAGCCCCTGCCTAGAATCCCCCAGTGAGGGGCTGGGGTGTGGCTCAGTGGTAGAGCACCTACTTTGTATGTGCAAGGACCTGTTTCAACTTCAGCATGGCAAAAACAAAACAAAACCAGGTAAGTTAGCATGAGGGATTAATACCAGCGATTGTCATGGGAAAGGAGCCAATGGGAGTAGGCAGGGGGAAGTTTCTTAAGTGAATGGAAAAATCCTGTAACTGTGTAGTGATTTCACAGATACTTTGTTTTGGTATTGAATTATACATTGTATTTATTTACACTAGGGATGGAACCCTGAATTTTTCACAAGTTAGGCAAACACTCCACGGCTGAGCCATGCCCTAGTCACAAATGTATTGTGTTCATGTGCGGTACTTGTGTCTGTTTTTGTGTGTGCACATACATGTTGTGGGTGTATGTATACATGTTCACGTTGTGTGTGGTGGCCATAAGCTGATGTTGGGTGTACCTGAATCTTTTTTTTTTTTTTTTTTCTCTCATGACAGGGTTTCTCTGTGTAACAGTCCTTGAACTCAGATTATCTGCCTGCCTCTGCCTCTGCCTCTCAAGGGCTGGGATCAAAGGAGTCCACGACCATGCCTGGCTACATCTTGTATTTTGAGGCAAGGTTTCTTACGAAGCTTGAAACTCACTGATTCTTCTACACTGCCTGGCTAAGTGAGCAGCAATGATCTGTCTCTCCAATGCTGGGATCACAGACACATACTTCCACATACACTTTTTGAAAGTTTTTAAAAATTAAAAAAAAATTTTTTGAGACATGGTCTCATTATGTAGCTTTAGCTGGCCTACAGTCTGCTACATTCTCTAGGCTGGATTCAAACTCATAGAGGTTTACTTGCCTCTGCTAGAATGACAGGAATGGGCTATCATGTCTGATTTTATTTCTTGTGCATGTGTATGTTTGTTTGCATGTTTGTTTGCATGCCTGATGCCAGCAGAGACCATTAGAGGGCATCGGATCCCCTAGAACGGGAGTTGCAGATAGTTTGTGAGCCAGAACCCGGGTCCTGTGCAAGAGCAACTGATGGGAGATGCCATTCTGTAAATATGTTTCTCTATTGGTTAATAAATAAAGCACTGTTGGCCAATAGGAAAGCAAGATAGGAGGGACTAGAAGACAAGAATTCAGGGAGAGGTAGGAGGAGATTCAATATGTAGGATTGAGAGACCAGAACGCTGGCCCCTTTCTCCGGTAAGATGAGACCACGTGGAAATACTTAGAAATATTTAAGACAGATCTAGCCAATAAGAAATGTTAGTAACAGGCCAACAGCTTTATATCTAATACAGCATCTCTGTATGTATTTGGGGGCTGGTGTGGCACTGACCAGGCTGGCAGGAAAACTACTCATAACAAGCAACAAGTGTTCTTAAGCACCGAGCCATCTTTCCAGTCCCAACGTTTCTTGATCTTTTTGTGCACCTGATAGTATGAAAGTGTGAACGTTACCTCAGCGAATGAGAGGAGATGAACATAGTGACGTAGAGCGTGGATGGCATCAGTCTAAAGCCCTTTGTCAGTGGCTCTGTGGCCATTAGCAAGTTCCCTCCCCTCCCTAGGCTCACACTAATGAATATTAGGGCAGTATTTAGGAGGTGCATCAGTTAGCCCTCACCACCATCAGACCATGACCTCCCTCAGGCCACTTTCGGAAGAAGACCCTTTCTACCCTTCAAGTCCCAGCCTCCTCCAATATCTGTCCATAATCCCACTTGGTTGAGAATTCTGACTCCCCAGACTCCAAAACCCATGATTCCGCCTAAGATTTTGCGGCATCCCCTACTGGCTAAACACACGAGATGGCTCATGTGAGTCACCCAGACACTGAGCACTGGCAGAGGACACCCGTCTGCCCAGCAAGTACAACACACACACAACTTCTCTCTCCCCACTGATATATTTGATAATTGTTCAGAATTAGAACCGGAAATGGCATCAGCCAGGGGACGGACGGGGCTGAGGGGAGTAAAAAAGAGCCCAGGGAGGGAATGAAGGGCGGGGTTGCCAGGGAGAGAGGGGAGAGACAGAGAAAAGGGAGGAGAAGAGGGGCGGGGGCTGTGGGGGGGGACAGAAGCAGCCAGAGGGGGAAGAGAGGGGAAAGGGGGAGGTAACCAAGGTGTGGGAGATGAGGCTGGGCCACAGGGAGAGAGGGGGCCACGGGGAGAGAAGGCCCCTCCCCCCAGAGTACAAAACGGGGGTCGGAGAGGGCTGTCCTGGGCTGGGGGCAGGGAAGACACGGGTTGAGGTCAATAGTAGGTCTCTTTCTCCACCCAACCTGGAATGAAAGAGAAGAGAGTCAGCGTTTGTGAGAAGGCGGGAGAGCCATTCCAAGCTAGGAAGGGGGTGGGGGCGGAGAAAGAGAACAGGGTGTGGTAGCAGGCCTGTTATCCCCGCACTGAGGGACTCAGGAGGGACGTGAGATCAAGGGCAGGGTAAGCTACACAGACTCCGGCTCAAGAGGCGCGCTCACACTTGGATAGAGATGGGGGAGGGGCAAAATAGGAGGAGAGGAAAGAGAAAGGGGAAGACAGGTCCAGAGAGGCACCGGTGGGAGGGACCTGTCCTCTGCATCCCCTCCCAGCCTCCCGGGCCCTGGCCCTCACCCCCGGGGTTCCTGCGCAGGATGAGTTTGCGAATCTCGTCATACACGAAGATGAGGAAACTGTAGGGGAAGGCACAGAACCACCAGCTGGGCCTGCGGAGACGAAAGGGAGAGAGGGGGGCTGAGGGTCACGCCCAGGTGTGCTGGGACCAGGTGGCCAGTCTTCCGGGGTCTCTGGTGCCACACAGGGGAGCCCTGGATCCTGAATAGGGCCTGGAGTCTGCAGATTGCCCCTCCCTCTGTGAGGTGGGGACACTTGGTGGCATCAGAACAGGGGTGGCAACAAGGGACAGAGTGGGGGTATCCAGAAAAACACCAGGTCCAGCGGGCTAAACAGCGAAGGCTGAGGCCACAGGGTGTGGGAGCGTGGAGTTCCTGGGTGGCCCCGGCACTCACTTGAGAGGGTACATGCGAAGGGCCACGTCCATGCCTGGGCAGTAGGACAGGAAGGCAGCAAGAGCAGTCTCCTCAAACAAGCCGAAGATCAAGATCTTATTCCTGGAGGCAAGGTGAGACAAGGCTAGACCCGGGGCTTGCCCACACCAGGGTTCCCCACCCTACACACACCCAGACACGGACGGAAAACAAATGGAGCAAGAGAGTCAGTCACCAGCGGACAACGACATGTGCACGCACGCGTACACACGCGCGCGCACACACGCACACGCACGCACACGTGCATGCACACACGCACGCACACACACGCGCACACGCACGTACACACACGCACACACGGGAAAGGAAAGGAGGGGAGGTAATGACCCAGGCAGAGAGCCAAGACCTGAGAGCCACAGAGTCAATGAGAGACGCATGGACCAGTGACAGAGAGAAAGACAGCCTGGCGTGGAGACATAGGCATGTGACCCCAGCACTTGGGAGGCTGAGGCAGGAGGATTGCTTGCCATGAGTTTGAGCCTAGCTTGGGCTAAATACCAAGGCACTGTCTGAAGCAGAAAAAAAAAAAAAAAAAAAAAAAAAAAAAAAACGGAAAGGGAGAGAGAGGAAGGAGGGAGAGGATGTGGAGAGGGAAAGGAAGAGAAAACATAGAAGCAGGGACTGGGTCCTGGAAGCAATGGTTAATAAAAGGGAGAGATAAGCTTAGAGTCTAAAACATGTGTCCCTCAGGAGGAAAGCAACAGGGAGGCAAGAATAGCCAGAGCTCAGTGAGGGAGGAGGGAGGAGCGACACGGGCCAGCCAGGGACGGGGTGCAGCCCTCACTTCATGCCCTGCTGGAAGACGGAGTTCCTCCTGGTCTTGCAGATGATCAGGTCAGCCCACTGGACCACCACGATGCTCACAAAGAAGGCTGTGTGGCATGTGAACTCTACCACCTTCCTCTGCTCGTATGTCTGCAGAATCGAGAGATGCACAGGGGTGAGGTGGTGTCCTGCCATGGATCCCCAGAGTCCTTCCTTCACCGCCCCGCCCCACCCCCTGCGCCCGGTTTCCAGGGCCTCAAATGTGCCTTCCCTTCCTTCTTGGATTCATAGCCTCTTGGGAGCACAGAAAGATGGCAGATGTTTTAAGAAGAACAAAGAATTAGGGGGCCTTAATCGTTTGCCAGGAACCAAGGGCCCTATGGGTGCCCGCTAAGGACAAACAGCTGCTAGGCTTTGATGGGACGGACAGATACGAAGGGAAGCCTGGGCTGGGCTTTGTACAGAGTCCTGGGAGGTCACTTGTTCAGGTTGGATGTGGCCCTCAGGGCCGAGAGTCCAGCATGGGGCTTGAACTAGCTGTTGGTGTGGTGCTGATGCTGGATGCTGATGCCCACTCCACTCACCCACTGCTGCCCGTAACTGTCCTCCAGGTCATTGACAGTGCGGTCATCCCAGTTCAGCCGGATGCCCACCAGGTTACCGGGCAAGAAGCCATTTTCCGCCAGAATGACAAAGTAGGAGAAGAAACCACCGAGGGCCTGGATCATTCCTGGGGGAGAAGGGAGCCAGCTGAAGGAGGGAGGGTGAGGCAGGAGCTGGCAGCATGCCCAGCGCTGCCCCAATGACCCCCGAGACTGTGACAGCCGCCTACCGGCTGCTCAGTCATCTCGCCTAAGCCACGTGCTTCCAGGACCTGGGTGGGGTCCGAGACGGTCATGTGGTCAGGGACTTGGGAAGGAGCTATGCACATGGATGACCCCCCCACCCCCACCCAGACACACTGCTACCCGATGCGGCTACCAAATACTCTAAATATCCTGGAGGAGTCAGGCTCAGTACCACAGGCCTGAGATCCCAGCTATTAGGGAGGCTGGCTAGGTTACAGGATGAATGGAAGGCCTGCCTGGCAACTTAGAGAGACCCTGTCTCAAAACAGAAGGTGAGTGCGGGACGTAACTGTGGCAGGAGAGTGCTTGCCTGGAACCTACCAGGGAGGGAAGAGCTAGTGGTTAGCTAGCATGCAGGAAGCCCTGGGTTTAATACTAACAAAAATATCCAGGCGTGTGCCCCTAAACCCAGCACTCGGGAGGCAGGAGCAGGCGGGTCTCTGCGAGTTCAAGGCCAGCCTGGTCTACGAGATCCCGCATCAAAAACAGTGATGATGAATGACTCTGATGCCTGGATACCCCTGTAATCCCAGGAGCACTCAGGATGGACAGACAGAGGGATCTGTCAGTTCTATCTAGTCAGACAGCCAGAGCTACACTGTGAGAGCCTGTCTCAAAGCAAACAATAGAAAACACTACAAAGAACGGACTGGGACTGGGGCACAGCTGGCCGAGTACCCGCGTGCCCAGCGTGCACCTTGGGAGGCAGAGGCAGGAGGATCAGAAGCTCAGGGCTACTCTGTTCTTGCCTGCGAGGTTCTGCCCCCAGCAGTCCTCACCAATCTGCCCATAGGCCATGCTGATGAGCCTTTCGTTGACCAGTTTGTCTGTGCGCGGGTTCCTGGGCTGTCTCTTCATGATGTCACTCTCAGCAGCCTCGTAGGCCAGGGAGATGGCGGGAACCTGGGCGGGAGAGACGGGCTGTGAGCGGGCAGAAAGAGAGCACACGCCAGGTGGCATCTGTGAGGGAGGACCCACCACGGCCGGCAGAGGTGGCAGCCCAGCCCAGCTTACCATGTCGGTGCCCAGGTCGATGCAGAGGATGGTGATGGTACCCAGGGGCAGTGGGATGTTGGCCATGATGAAGAGCAGGAAGGGCGTGATCTCAGGGATGTTGCTGGTCAGAGTGTAGGCAATAGACTTCTTCAGGTTGTCAAAGATCAGGCGGCCTATAGCGCGGGGAGCAGGCTTAGAACTTGGGATCCACTGGAGCCCCATATCCTTGCTCCCCTTTTTGTGAGGTACTGGGAGATTGAACCTAGGCTTCCTGATTGCCAGACAAGGTTCTACCAGTGAACCATACCCTCAGCCCCTCACTGGGGGATTCTAGGCAGGGGCTCTACCACTGAGCCACGCCCCCAGCCCCTCACTGGGGGATTCTAGGCAGGGGCTGTACCACTGAGCCATGCCCCAGCCCCTCACTGGGGGATTCTAGGCAGGGGCTCTACCACTGAGCCATGCCCCAGCCCCTCACTGGGGGATTGAAGGGGTTTGCAATGAGCTACATTCCTAGACCCTTGCATTCTATCTAATTCACCCTCTCCTACTCACATTTGCATCAACACCTCTGAACATGGCACTTCTTCTCTACATCCAGGTTTATACACAAGAGAAATGACTGCTTATGTCCCCCCAAAGCCAAGTTCACAAATGTTTACCACAGCATCATTCACAATAGCCTCAAACCAGAGTCAACTTGAAAGCCCGTGGCAGGTGAGCAGTGGCTAAATCACGGAGCATCTCAGGAAAGAAAGGGAGGAGCCACAAATGCATGAACTCACAGGCAAATCTGAGGTATTAAACACAAGTCAGGCACAGGGCTGGGGCTGGGGCTCCGTTGGTAGAGTGCTTGCCTCCATGCATGAGGTGGGTTCAAGCCCTTGCACCACATTAAAAAAAAAACAAGATAAAAAACTGGGTGTGGATGCTGGCCCCGAGGGCACAGGCCTGTAATCCCCAAGGCCACATGAAGAGTCCAATCTCAAAATGAAATTAAAAATCAAATGGTGTGCATACAGAGTTCCAGGACAGACTCCAAAACCACACAGAGAAACCCTGTCTTGAAAAACCAAAACCAAAATGAAACACCAAAACATTGCCAGGCAGTGGTGCCGTACGCCTTTAATCTCAGCACTTGGGAGGCAGAGGCAGGGGGATCTCTGTGAATTTGAGGCCAGCCTGGTCTACAGACAGGGCTACACAGAGAAACCCTGTATCCAACCCCCCACCCAAAATTCAGATACAAAAGTTGTTGTAATATTACACGATTCCATTTAGAGGACAAGAAGTCAGGACAGTAAACGCTCTGTGAGTGCATCAGGCCAAGGGGGAATTTTAATGGAGTATGATGTCTGTCTCTGTCTGTCTGTCTGTTATTTCTACTGTTGTGTATCCAACCCAGGACCTTACATATGTTAGACAAGCCCTCTACCGATGTTATTACTATTGACTAGAATATGGAGTGTTCAGGTGTCCATATATGCAAAAATCTATCAAGTTAGCTTGTGATGCTTATGGTATATCTCCAAAATACACTCAGTACAGAGCCCATGAAGTCAAAACCTAAGGATGAACTGGGCGTCCCTCCCATTGTCTTCTTCCTGTGTTGAGCCACAGGGAATGGTTAAAAAGTAAATAGCATGATCGACCTGTGGGACTCCTAGCAGTGGGGGCAGGGCCTCATGGTGGGGTGCCTTGCTCAGCCTTAACACAAGGGGAGGCCTTGGTCCTTCTGCAACTTGACATGCCATGCTTTGTTGAAGGGAGACAGAGGAGGGGATGGGAGCCCGCAGAGGGGAGGAAATGGGAGGGAAGGAGAGAGAGGAAACTGGTTGGGATGTGAAATAAATGAATTAATTTAATTAATAATAAAAAGATAAAAGTATTATTTGTTTTTATAACTCCCCCCCCTTTTAAAATGTCAGGTGTGGTAGTCCGCCGTGCTTGGAAACACAACACTTGGGAAGTAAAGACGGCAGGATCAGGACCTCAGGGTCACCCTCAGCTACATAGCAAGGTCAAGGCCAGCCTGGGCTACGTGAGATACTTACTGTCTCAAAAGACAAAGGCCATAGACTAAAATAGGCATTTCTCAAAAGAGAACACACAAATAGGCCAGGCCTAGTGGCACAAGCCTGTAATTCTAGCACTCCAGAGGCAATGGTAGGGTCAGAGTAACCCTGAGACCAGCCTGGTCTAGATAATAAGTTCTAGGCCGGCCAGGACTACATAGCCAGACTTTTCTCAACAGTAAAAATCAATGCTAGGTGTGGTGGCACTTGGGAGGCAGAGGCAGCTGGATCTCCACACATTCCAGGCCAGTCAGAACTACAGAGTGAGATCTGTCTCAAAAGGCAGAAAAAAAAACAGAATTTTAAAAACAAAGACCATATACCATACTTAGTATCAGGGCAGCATCAATAGCTGCTGGGAATCAAACTAAACTGCAAAGAGACATCCCACTACCTCAGAGAGAGAGGCTGTGATCCAATGGACAAAAGAGCCGGAGAAGAGGCAGGGAAAGGGATCCGTGTCAGGACACACAGGAAGTGTGGCATTGGCCGCACAATGGTAGGCATATCTGCCTTCCACAATGTAAATTATACAGCCATCATGGAAACGGCACGGGAAGATTCCTTTAAAAAAAAAAAGGGGGGGGGCTGGAGAGGCAGCTCAACCGTTAAACGTACTGGCTGCTCTTCCAGAGTTCTGCTCCCAGCACCGTCACAGCGGCTCACAGCTGTCTATAACTCCAGTTCCAGAGCATCCAGTGCCTTCTGGACTCTGCAGGTACGTGGTGCATAGACACATGCAGGCAAAACATCCATGCACACCAAATAAAATAATTTAAAAAGGGATTTAAGAAGAATGGAATGGATGGTATCGAAAATCTCTCTCACGCATAGACTCCAAAAGAGTTAATGTTATTCAGGTGTGGTGTTACACACCTGCGATCTCAGTACTCAGGAGGCTGAGGCAGAATTGCCCCGAGTTCAAGGCTAACATGGACTACATAGTGAGATCTTGTCTCAAAAATGTCCTTCTTCCAGAAAGGGGGAGGGGAAGGCATCTCCGGGGTTACGAGTGGATACTGCTCTTGCAGAAGACCTCGTTCCCAGCATCCGGGTCAGGTTGGCTCACAATGGCCTCTAACTCTGGATCCAGGGGATCCAACACTCTCCCCTGGCCTCAGACCTCCGCACTCCTGTGCCCACACACACAATGTCAAGAACAGAGGCATGAGAGTAGGGTGGCAGCTACGAGCGTCTGGAAAGCAGGGCGGGAGTGTTAAGTCACGTGAGTGCCAAGCTACTGTGAGGAGCCAGGGGCTGTGACGGGGCTCAGTAGGTACAGTGCGTGTTTCACAAGCATAAAAACCCGAGCCGCACCCCAACACCATAAAAAAACAACACTCCACAGACGTAGGAACCTGGTATGCTGCTATGTGACAGAGGTCGACACACCAAATGTCTCAGTGCTGGGAGAAAGTGCTGGACATTTCCTCCCAGAAGAAATGCTAACTGAAGAGACAGATATGTTTAACCAACCCGGTAACCAACACAACATACATTAAAATATCACATGGCAACCCCTTAGGAGCTTCATTTTTTTTTTTTTTTTTTTGAGAGAGTCTCATGTAGCCTAGATTGGTCTTGAACTTCCGATCACCCTCCAAGTGCCAGAATTACAGGCATATGTCACCAAGCACAGCTGGTGTTTGGGTTTTTTGTGGCTGTTTTCGACACAGGGTCTCACTATGTAGCCCTGGCTGTCCTGGAACTCACTATGTAGATCAGACTGGCCTCGAATTCACAGAGATCCTCCTGCCTCTGCCTCCCGGTTGCTGGGAGCAAAGGCGTTCTTCACTATGCCTTCTGGCTAGCTGTTTGTTTTTTAAATTATGTGTGGGGTGAGATAGATGGGCGCTATGCAAGTGAGTGTAGTGCCTGTGGCGGCCATAAGAGGGCGCCCTGGAGCTAGAGTTACATGGTAGTGAACTGCCTGGCAGGGATGCTAGTTTTCAAACTTGGGTCCTCTACAACAAAGTATGTACTCATAACTGCAGAACCATCTCTCCAGCCCCTCTCGTGTGTGTGTGTGTGTGTGTTTTCTTTTTTTGAGGCAGGATTTTGCTGTGAAGTATCAACTATCCTGAAACTAAAAGATGAAACTCAAATCCTCCACATGCTAGGCAACCCCTCTGAGCTCCTTGGCTCATTATAGTACTTGCACAGCCCCCCCCCCCAGTGTGTGTGTGTGTGTGTGTGTGTGTGTGTGTGTGTGTGCGCACTTATAGATGTATGCCCCCAAACTCAGCAAGTAGTGACATTTCAGATGGGAGCTAGGCTCAGGGAGAAAAATGATGCAAATATGAACAGTTACTTTTTGATAGTGAGCTTTTTTTTTTTTTTTTTTTTTTTTTTTTTTTTGCATTTTCTGTAATTATCAATGTAATAATTATCGATGATCAAAATGGAATAAAATATAAACCAGAACCCTCTGTGGCCCCTTCGAGACCCTCCAGAAAATGGGGCTGGTGTTGGTCGGCTCTGCAGTGGGGTCTTCCTTACCTCACTTTGCAGGAATTGATATTTTCTCTACCCAAGCCTCCCCACCCCCATCCTTGCAAGAGAACGTCTCGTTGCGGACCCCGAGCTCAGTTCAGGGTCCGTCCCCTCACTCTCTTTCCTGTCCACTCTGGATGACGACTGAACCCCAGCCCACATGGGGGGGGTCTTCCATGCCTCCCAGAATCCTCTGCTTTGCCGTGACTGTATTTACAGGACGTTGGAACACTTCAAGACTGCCCCGGTGCCAGGTAGTGGAGGAACCCGAAGCCGCAGCACACACATCTCACCTGGGATCCCATCTTACAGCCTTGCATACTATTACACACCTGGCCCTGCCCCACCCCAGCCCCCTTCCTATTGCTTCCAGCAGTGACCGCCTCTACCCCCACCCCCAGACCACTCACCCTCCTCCACACCGGTGACGATGGAAGCAAAGTTGTCATCCAGCAGAATCATGTCGGCAGCCTGCTTGGAGACATCAGAGCCAGCAATGCCCATGGCCACCCCGATGTCAGCCTTCTTCAGGGCAGGGGAGTCGTTCACACCATCACCAGTGACAGCCACGATTGCTCCCTGGAAGGAGGAAGGGCTTGGGTAAGCACCAAGGTTCCAGGCCCAGCCCCCCTCCCTCAGAGGCAGGGCTCCAGGCCCAGCCTCCTCCCTCAGACCCAGGGCTCCAGGCCCAGCCTCCTCCCTCAGAGGCAGGGCTCCAGGCCCAGCCTCCTCCCTCAGACCCAGGGCTCCAGGCCCAGCCTCCTCCCTCGGACCCAGGGCTCCAGGCCCAGCCCTCCCTGGGATTAGGTGGGAGCTCACCTGTCTCTGGCAGCCCTCCACGATGATGAGCTTCTGCTGAGGGGAGGTGCGGGCAAAGACAATCTCAGTGTGGTTCTGCAGGATCTCGTCAATCTGCTCCGAGGTGAAGTCCTTGAGGTCGGTGCCGTGGATCACACAGGCTTTGGCATCCCTGAGTAGAGCAGAGAGGTCAGTGGCCAAAGCCAGAGTGAGGAGTGGGGGGCATCTGATAGACAGCCACAGACAGGGGGACAGAGGAGGAGTTCTGGGGGGGGAGTGATAAGGTTAGAGAGGTCAAGCCGGAAGGGCCAGAAGTGGAGGCACACGGGTGGGTGGAGCCATAGGAAGACAGTCAGAGCAGAGGATAAAGATGGAAACCCTGGAAGCCAGAGAAACCACACAGAAATATACGGCTGTGTGAAGGCAGCACAGCGAAGAAATATGGGGCTTCCTCGGATCCTTCGAGAGCAACTGCCCATCACTGCGCACACCCTGACCACTGGGTGGGAAGGTGCTTTCCTTTAATCTCAGCACTTGGGAGGCAGAGGTAAGCAGATGTCGGAGTTTGATGCCAGTCCGGTCTACATACAAGTTCTAGGTTAGTCAGGGCTACATAGTGAGACCTGGTCTCGAAAGAAATATTTAAATATCATTATCTGAACCTGCTCCTCCCACACACTTTTTTTTTTTTTTTTTTTTTTTTGTTTTTTTTTTTTGGGTGGCGCTGGGGATGGAACCTGGGGCCTCTTATTATTAGGCAAGCATTCACCACTGAGCCGTGCCCCAGCCCCTCACTGGGGGATTCTAGGAAAGTATTTTTGTCTCTGAGCTACATTCCTAGTCCTTGGTGTTTGGAGATAGCTCTTGCTGTGTAGCTCTTGGCCTCCTGCCTCCTCATTTTGAGCGCTGGGATTACGGGTGTGCACAGCCATACCTGGCTTTTTTTTTTTTTACTTTGCATTTTGGCGGAGGTGTGGCTCCTCACCTGGGGTTGACCTGGCTGACAGGGATGTTGAGCCTAGCAGCAATGTCCTCTACAGTCTCGTTACCCTCGGAGATGATGCCTACACCTTTGGCGATGGCCTTGGCTGTGATGGGGTGGTCGCCGGTGACCATGATGACCTGTAAACACCGTGTTTTAGGGATGGCCCCTGACCTCACCTCACACCCACGCAGCCGCCCCAGGACACACCTTGATGCCTGCACTGCGACACTTGCCCACAGCATCGGGGACAGCTGCCCGGGGAGGGTCAATCATGGACATGAGACCCACAAAGCAAAGGTTGTCTGTGGTGAAGTTGACATCATCGCAGTCGAAGGCGAAACCCTTGGGGAACTGCTCCTCAGGCAGGTAGTAATGGCAGAAACCTGGTGACAGGGACAAAGAAGGGCATACGCGGGTGCCAGCCTCAGGACCTCCACGTCCGAACCCCGTGTACCGCCAGTTGTCTGGGTTCCCTGCAGTCAGTCTCTCCATACAGCCAGGACCCAACCAACATTCGTTTCTTTCTTGTTCGTTCATTCATTCATTCATTCATTCTCTCACTCACTCATTCACGTTGCATTCTGGCCCCCAACAGTCCTTAGAGACGGACCTGTTCCTGCACCACCTGAAATACACACCCAGCACACGCTCGCCCAGGCCACCGAGCTCCAGGTAGGCGTTCTGGAAGGCCTCCTTCATCTCTTCGTCCAGAGGCTGCTCTTTGCCCTGTAGGAGGATGGTGGCACAGCGGTCCAGAATGCGTTCAGGGGCGCCCTTCATCACCAGCAGGTATCGGTTGTCGTTGGGGTCTTCAGTCTCATGGATGGACAGCTGCAAGGGAGAACAGTGTGTGCTTAAGCCATGAGTGTGGGAGCTGTCCAGAGGCTCCCGCACCCAGCTAGGGAGAGAGCCTTCCCACGCTAGGATAGGACAGATGACTAAGAGCGCTGCCCCTATCTCTCCAGGCCTTTTCTGTTCCTCAGGCCTCCTGGAGATCTCTGCTCAACCCTTTCCTGTCTTTCCATGTCTGTCCATCTCTCTCACAGAATTTCCAACTACCTTTGAATTGAATACTTTCTCTCTGCCTTGTTGGGATTCAGTGTACTACGGCCACCCCAAATCTAGCAGCTAGCTTGCCTCTGAAGCATATCAAGAATCTAATCTCGTCTCACTCTCCTCTGCTGCCCTTGCCCCGAATCCAGCTATCAACCCTCACTTGAATCTCTGCATCTACTTCCCTCTATCAACCGCTCTGAGCCAAAGTTCAACAGCAGAACAATGGCTTAGAATCCCCCAGTGAGGGGCTGGGGGTGTGGCTCAGTGGTGGAGCCCCTGCCTAGAATCCCCCAGTGAGGGGCTGAGGTGTGGCTCAGCAGTAGAGCTCCTGCCTAGAATCCCCCAGTGAGGGGCTGGGGTGTGGCTCAGTGGTAGAGCCCCTGCCTAGAATCCCCCAGTGAGGGGCTAGGGGTGTGGCTCAGCAGTAGAGCTCCTGCCTAGAATCCCCCAGTGAGGGGCTGGGGTGTGGCTCAGTGGTAGAGCCCCTGCCTAGAATCCCCCAGTGAGGGGCTGGGGTGTGGCTCAGTGATGGAGCCCCTGCCTAGAATCCCCCAGTGAGGGGCTGGGGGCGTGGCTCAGTGGTGGAGCCCCTGCCTAGAATCCATCAAGGTAGGGGTGTGGCTCAGAAGTAAAGTGCTTGCTAATATAAGGTCCTGGGTTCCATTTCTAGTCCCACAGAAAATAAAAACTAAAAAGAAACTGTAAGTCAGTGGAAAACGCTGCAGCCATATGACAGAGAGCTCAAAAGTTTCCCCAAAGGTGGAGCAGCTCAACCGTCCATCAAGAGATGAACAGATCAACAAGATGTGACATATTCACACAATGACACATACTTTTTCTCCTAAAGCAGCTAGGCACGGTGGTTCACATCTGCCACCATAGTACTCGTGAGACTGCAGCAGAGAATCGCCACGAGTTCGAGTCTTGCCAGGGCTACATAGTGAGTTCGAGACCGGGCTGGGTTACAGAGTGAGATCATGTCTCAAAATACAGGAAAAAGTAAAAAGATAAAATAGAATAAAAAAGTCATGAGGAGCCAGTTGGTGGTGGTGGCGCACGCCTTTAATCCCAGCACTCGGGAGGCAGAGGCAGGCGGATCTCTGTGAATTCAGGACCAGCTTGATCTATAGAGCTAGTTCCAGGATACCCAGGGCTAGACAGAGAAACCTCATCTCGGAAAACAAACAAACAAACAAACAAAACTGTTAGAATCTGGTATGGCTCAATGAGTAGAGGTGATTGCTGTGCAGGCCTGGAGACCTGAGTTCAATCCCTGGAACCTCCATAAAGATCGGAGAGAACCCGAGTCCACAAAGTTGCCCTCTGACCTCCGCAAGCAACCCCTGCCATCTCATAATATACAATAAGAAATCTCTTTTAAAAGAATGAGGCTCTGATGGACATTTGGATGGATCCTGAAGATGAGGTGGAGTGAAATAAAACATATATTTTTTTAAAAGGCCAAGTATTACGGAACAAATGTCCGGAACAAGTGAATCCACAGAGGCGGAAAGTAAGTTAGTGTCTGCTGAGGCTGGAGGCAGGGGTTGCTGGAGAAGGGGTGGGCAGAAGCTGAGAGAGTGCGGGGGCTTCTTTTCTGCAGTGACAAAAAACAATCTAAAATTGACTCTGTAGGTGGTTGTCCACGTCGAGTACACTAGCACAGATGCTCATGGCATGTGAGTTGTAGCTTCTCAAGACTGTCTAACTTTAAAGGGTATGTATGCACCAAGGCCTGTCTTCCGTCCTCCTGCCACTCAGAGCATGGCCGGGTCTCCCCCACAGCCCTCAGAGCCCCACGGTTCTCTATACTCTAGCCTCATCCCTTACCGCAGTGGCCGCCAGCGGTTCAGGCAGGTGACACCCTGCCTCAGGACCTTTGCACAGGCTTGCCTGCTGCCTGAACTCTCTTTCCTTGAAACCTGCAGGGCTCCTTACCTCATCCTTTGATTAGCTATCTGTCTCTCAGGACTAGAGTATCAGAAAGACAGCATCTCACTACCCCGGGTACCTCGCTACCTAAAACAGGACCAAGAGCTCAAAAACATATCTGGAACATGTCTGAAGCTTGCTGCCCTGACCCTTGAGATGGTGGCCAGCGCCCACCCCCTACCATCGGAGGCTCTTGGCTCCCATACCTCCCATTTCAACCTCACTATGGAACTCTCCCCTTCAGCCACTTCCCTCCCCCTCTCCGGCTATCATCACCCTGAATTTTACACATGGGAAACTGAGGCTTGGTAAAGATTAGTATCTTGCCTCAAAGCCGGAAATGGCACTGAGGTGGCCACCCCTGGGGACCGTAGAGAAACTGCAATCCTTGCTTGCTGTCTCCACGCTGTAATGTAAGCTATTTCCTTCACGCTGGAGCTATCAGGGAGCAGAGGTCCCGTGGCGTGAAATAGCGCACGTACACATGCACACACCACACACCACACACACACACACACAGTGATGCAGAATGGTACAGTGACTGATGATGGTGGTCAGGCTGCTAATGTTCCCTGATGGATGGATGGGAAGGGGAGAGTCATCCAGCTCGCCCTCCTGTCCCAGCAGCTAGCTATCCGGGAGCTGGGACTCCAATAACAGCTTTCATGAGTCATCACCTGTGCTGCAGCTGTTTTGAGTCATTCCACACTCCTGTAAGTAATGCATCACTCTTGTTTCCTATAATTAACCATAATTGTCCCACCCTTCCACAAGCTGGACTGGGATGGAATCATTTCCTTGGTCTGGGACAGGGTCTCATGTAGCCCAGGCTGGCCGGGGAAACTTGCTAGGTAGCTGAGGATAGCTTTGATGCGCTACCTCCACCTTCTCGGGGATGGGACTTACAGCCTGACTTGTTTGTTTGTTTATTTATTATGTATACAGTGTTCTGTCTGTATTATTCCTGCAGGCCAGAAGAGGGCACCAGATCTCATTACAGATGGTTGTGAGTCATCATGTAGTTGCTGGGAATTCAACTCAGTACCTCTGGAAGAGCAGTCAGTGCTCTTAACCTCTGAGACATCTCTCCAGCCCTTGTTTCTTATTTAAGACTGGATGTTGTTGTGTAGCCCAGGTTGGCCTCAAACTTACTATGTAGCTGAGGATGTTCAGGAACTCCTGATCCTCCGGCCTCTACTTCCCAAGCTCTGGCTCACAGGTATTCACTAACACACTCAGCTCAAATAGACATTTCTTCTCTCTCTCTCTCTCTCTCTCTCTCTCTCTCTCTCTCTCTCTCTCTCTCTCTTTCTTGAGACAGGGTTTCTCAGCCCTGGATGTCCTGGAACTCACCCTGTAAACCAGGCTGGCCCTGAACTCACATAGATCCACCTGCTTCTGCCTCCCGAGTGCTGGGATTAAAGGTGTGCGCCACCAGGGCCCGGCTAGACATTTCTTCCTATCATCCCAGGAAGACTCCCACGGCATGGGGAGCTGAGTTTGTACCTGGTATTTGTTGGTGGAGTTGAAGGGAATCTCGGCCACTTTCTTGTTCCGTTCACGCATCAGTTTCACAGAACCCGAGGACAGCTCGATGCACTTGAGCAGGGCGGACTCAGAGGCGTCACCGGCTACGTCCCTCTAAGGCAGGCAGAAACCTGGTCAGTCAGCACTGGAGGGGGGCGGGGCGGGGCGGGTGGCATCAGAGTGGGCAGGTAGCTGCGCTTACCTTGAGCACGGGGATGTTATCCTGTCCACCCTTGAAGACAGCTCGGTTGCAGAGTCCAGCGATGTGGGACAGAGCCACCCAGGTGTGTGAGCTCTTGTCGAAAGAGGTCCCTGTAGGAGTCACGTGTGAGGCCAAGAGGCCCCCTGGGACTGGATGTGCCAGCCCCCAGCCTGAGCCCACACTGACCTGACTGATCCTCAGTGGTGTCGGCCTCGTGGATCTGGTTGTCGAACCACATGTGAGCGACGGTCATGCGGTTCTGGGTGAGGGTGCCGGTCTTGTCCGAGCAGATGGTGGATGTGGAGCCCAGAGTCTCCACAGCCTCCAGGTTCTTCACCAGACAGTTCTTGCGAGCCATGCGCTTGGCTGTCAGCGTCAGACACACCTGGAAGATGGGCAAGGACAGGGCAACTGCACGGATGTCCACAGTTCTGCCCGGCCGCAGCTCAAATCGTGGGGAGCAGCCAGGGCCGTGGACCGCGTGTCACGTGACGACGACCGGGCGGTAGGGGTCGAAACTGACAGGCACAGATGTGACCTCAAAACACACAGCAGCATGTTCTCAGAGGAGGCGGTAGGTAAAACGGACCCACACTCCGGAGGGGTGGGGGCTGGAGAAATGGATGGGTGATCACCAACACATACTGTTCTTGCAGTGGACCCAAGTCCAATTCCCAGCACCCACATCAGGCAGCTCTCAAGCGCCCCCAAATAAGAAACAATGGAAATTAAAGAAAGAAATTGAGAAGGGCTGGAGGAGTGGGGGGCGGGAGACTGCAGTCAAAGTGTAATGATTTTTTTCTTAACCCCTGAGCCATCTCTCCAGCCCTGTATTTTTTTTTCTATGAAATAAAATTTAAAAAAATCTAAGTAAGAAATTTTTAGCAGTTCATAGCCTTAACCACTCGGCCACCTCGTCCCCATAAGTAAGAAATTTTTAAAAAAGAAAAACATGGTTTAAAAAGACTATAGTGTCTTAAAGGGGGGGCACTAGAGAGATGGTTCAGCTGTGAGCACTGGCTGCTCTTCCAGAGGACTCTGGTTCAATTCCCAGGCAGCTCATAGCTGTCTGTAACTCCAATTCCAGGGAGTGCATGCATGTGTGTGTGTGCTCACGTGTGCAGGCAAAACACCCATACACATAAAATAAAGTGGCTTTGTGTGTGTGTGTGTGTGTGTGTGTGTGCATGCATGTGTGTGCTCACATGTGCAGGCAAAACACCCATACACATAAAATAAAGTGGCTTTGTGTGTGTGCATGCATGTGTGTGCTCACGTGTGCAGGCAAAACACCCATACACATAAAATAAAGTGGCTTTTTTTCTTTTATATAAATGGAGTTGGAGAGGTGGCTCAGGGGTTAGAGCACTTGCTGCTCTTGCAGAGGGCCTGGGTTCAGTTCCTATCATCTACGCAGCAACTCACAACCTCCTGTAACTCCAGTTACAAGTCACCCTCAGACCAGGGGTCCTGGCCTCAGCCCCACTCTCCCGGGCTCAGCCTTACCGTGACAGTAGCCAGCAGCCCCTCTGGGACATTGGCCACGATGATGCCGATGAGGAAGATGACAGCCTCCAGCCAGGTGTAGCCCAGAATGAGGGAGAGGATGAAGAAGGAGACACCCAGGAACACCGCCACACCAGTGATGAGCTGGATGAAGTGTTCGATCTCGATGGCGATGGGCGTCTTGCCCACCTCCAGGCCTGAGGCCAGTGTGGCGATGCGGCCCATGACAGTGCGGTCACCTGTGGCCACCACCACGCCCCGAGCGGTTCCTGTAGGGTCAAAGGGAGAGGTTCAGCTCTGCTGGGACTCCGAGGGCTGCGGGTAACCCACCTCCTGAGCCACAGTACTGTTTTAGTGCCCTTGGGGACCCCCCCTTCACCTTCTACACAGTTGGTGGAGAAGAAGGTGATGTTCCGGGTCTCCAGGGGATTGTCGTGTGTGCAGTCCGGGGAGCGGGTCTGGGGCTCAGATTCACCGGTCAGGGAGGAATTGTCCACCTGGGGATGGAGCAGCAGTTATGGTTCAGCCCGTTCCGGGAAGTTACAGAAAAACGAGTAAGGAGTCCTGTTTGGCCTCTGGCGTCTGGGAAACCCGGAGGCAGGATATTAAAGATGAGATCTGGGGACAGGTCAATCAATGTCCCTCAGAATTCCTATGTGATGGACCTGACCTTGACTACTAGGTCTGAAGGAAGGCTGGGCCTGGACTCCTGGGTCTGAGGGAGGGGGCTGGGCCTGGACTCTGAGTCTGAGGGAGGAGGCTGGGCCTGGACTCTGGGTCTGAGGGAAGAGGCTGGGCCTGGACTCTGGGTCTGGGAGAGGAGGCTGGGCCTGGGTCTCTGAGTCCAGTAGGGGGTGCTGGAGTTAGAGGCATTGAGGGGATTTGCCTCCTCCTTCCTAAGAGCTGGAGAACAGAGCTGGAGCCACAAACATTGACCCACCTTGCAGCCATGGGCCGAGATGATGCGGAGGTCGGCTGGGACCCTGTCCCCACCCTTGATCTCCACTAGGTCCCCGACCACCACCTCCTCAGCGTTCACCTGCATCTTCTCACCTTCCCGGATCACGAGGGCTTGCTGAATGTGAGACAGAAAAAAGAGTCAGCCCTGGAACCTCCCCTGCCTGGGAGCCCTGGGTGCAGCCCACCTGGCCACTTCCTTCTGTCCCCTTGCTGGGCCCTCCTCACCTGGGGAACCATGTTCTTGAAGGACTCCATGATCTTAGAACTCTTGGCTTCCTGGTAGTAGGAGAAGCAGCCGGTGATGATCACCACAGCTGCCAGCACGATGCCTAGGTACAGCTGCAGGGACACGCCAGGACACGCAGTGTTACGACAGCCACGCACAGTCCCTACCCGCCTCCACCCCCAGGTCTGCAAGGGGGCTTTGTGTGTGTGTCCTTATTCTTTGTGTGTCTGTCTGTCTGTCTGTTTGTATGCCTGCAGACCTCACCTTGCATTCAGAGGACTGCGTGTTTGATTCTCTTTGTTATTCTGCTTCTTTGTGTTCATTTCTATTTTTTAATTATTACATTTTATTTGTGTATGTGTGTGTTCATGTGTGCATGCGTGTGCACACACAGAGGTTAGAGAATAACTTCATGTTACATTCCTTGGGACCATACTCCTTTTATATTTTTTTAAGACAGGGTCTCTCTCACACAGCCTGGAGCTTGCCAAGTAGGCAAGGCTGCCTGGCCATCAAGTTCCAGGGGCCAGCTAGCCTCCACCTCAGCACGGGGATTAGAAGTGCTTGTCACCACCAGCAATTCTGGGGTTTGAACTCAGGTCCTCACGCCTAAAGAGCAAGTGTTTAACCTCCACCTCTTTTTCTTTGAGACATAAGCTCAGGCTAGTCTAGAACTTGCCACTTAGCTGAGGATGATCTTGAGCTCCTGATCTGTCTTCCTGGAGTTTCAAGAACATCCCACCACATCTGGCTTTGTTTTCTTGTTGTCTGCTTGTTTTTCAGATAGGGTAGGGTCTATGTAGCCCTGGCTGGACTTGAACTCACAGAAATATGTCTGCCTTTGCTGGGATTAAAGGTCACTCCCCCCTGCATGGATCTGAGATAAGACCTTCGTAGGCTTGGCTGGCCTTGAACTCTGGATCCTCCTGTTTTAGCCTCCTCAGTGCTGGCATAAAATGGGTAGGCCACAAAAGTAGATCTATCTGCTTTTGTGCAAACTGCACCTGTGTGTGTGCCAACGTCCCCATGAGGAAACTGTTTGAACCTGTGTCCTCCTCCTGGGACTCTCCATGTTCATCGATGGACACACATGAATCTCTATGTAGTTGTGAGGGGATCTGTGTCCACAGGTGTGAGAATTGTAACAGCCTTGTCTCACACCCGTCCCCTGTGGGGTTAGATGAGCCTTGACCTTCCTTCATCTCTAATCATTGCTTAGGCTGTGACCCTCTGGTGGCAGCCATCTCCAAAGTTGCTGAGGTTGGAGAGCCTTAAGCCAGAGCTCTAGTTCACCCCTAGCCCCCTTTCTCTTTAGTTAGGGTCTCTTGTAGCTCACCCAGGTGGTCATTGAACTCCCGATCCTCCTGCCTCAGCCTCCCTAGAGCTTAGATAACAGACTTACATGCTGCACCCAGTGTTGTGTGGTGCTGGAGACGCAACCTAGGCTGTCATGTGCGCTAGGTAAACACTCTACCAGCTGAACTGCACAGGGTTTTTTTTTTTTCTATAATTAAAAGTTAGGTGCACATGCATCCTATCATGTGAACAAGGGTGTGGGTACATGTGTGCGTGTGCATGCACCATGGCACATGTGGAAATTAAGACAACATGAGGTATTGGTCTTCAGTTTCCATTTTGAGAGAGGCTTCTTGTTTTTGTTTGTTTGTTTGTCTTTTAGTATCTGTTTATTTATGTGTGTGACTGGTTTGCCTACTTGTATCTTTGCACACCATGTGTGCCTGGTGCCATAGAGCCCAGCAGAGGGCACTGGACCCCCTGGAACTGTAGTTGTAGGTGGTTGTGAGCCACTGTGTGGGTGATGGGAACCGAACCCAAGTTCTTGGCTAGAGCAGCCATTTCTCTAGCTCCACAGGTCTCTCTTTCACTCCGACTGTATACTCAGGCAGGCTGGATCCTCCTGTCTCTTCCCCCCATCTCCTCACAGAGCACCGGTATTACAGAGCCAGCTGTGTGCCAGCTTCGCGTGAGTGCTGAGGATTCGAACTCAGACCCTCCTGAGCCGGCTGTGTGCCAGCTTCGCGTGAGTGCTGAGGATTCGAACTCAGACCCTCCTGGCTGTACAGCAAGTGCTTCAGCTATTAAGACTTCTGCTGACTAGGCTAGACTCGAACTCATGATCTTCCTGCCTCAGTTTCCTGTGTGACACCACACATGTCCGTCATGAATGCACAGAATTAAGCCCAGATCCGCATGAAAGCTTGCCAAATCACTACCCCAGCTGTGGTTTCCTTGCTGTTGAACTTGTTTGCTCAGAGGTGGCTGTGACGGTTGGATAATGAAAGGTAAGGGGCTCTGAAAAGTCTAGACAGGGAGATGTGGCTGTGTTTGTGTCTGTGTTCCTCAGCGTGTGGGGGCCTGTGCAGGCCAGGGTGTGGCACACTCACATTGTCACGAGACGGGTCATCTTCAGTTCCTGCCTGGATGCCATAGGCTAGGAAGCAGAGGATTGCCCCAATCCACAGGAGGATGGAGAACCCCCCAAATAGCTGTCTGCAGAACTTGACCCATTCCGGGGTGGTGGGCGGTGGTGTGAGGGCATTGGGCCCATCTCGAGCCAGGATCTCCTGGGCTTTGCTGTGTGTCAGACCCTAGAAGACACGGGATTCAAATGGGAACCTTCCAGAGAAGCTCTGGCACCCCAGACCAAAGGCAGCACCCACAGGTACCCAGGACGCCAGCCTCCAGCCCTGCTCCCTCAGACCCAGGGTTCCGAAGTCAGCCCAGGCTCTGCCCGTCCTCACCTGCACGCAGTCCGTGTTGTATTTCCGGCAGACCTCCTCTACGGACATCTTGTGCTCTGTCTGAAGAATGATTGGGGGAGAAGGCTCACAATGCCGCACAGCCCCTCTGGGCAGGCAGGACCATTGTGGGGTAGTACTAACAGGGGGCGACACTTACCATAGCCACCTCCTTCTTGAGGTCGTCCAGATCTCGGCGCTCCTTGGCCTTGCTCTTCTTGGGCGAGCTCTTGTCATCTTTTTTGTCCTGCGAGGTGGCGACACGGTAGCTGTCAGAGCCACCAGACTGCGGGCGAGAAGGGGTTCCAGAGCGACACTGGCCCCGCCCGCGTGCCCGCGTGCCCCCGCTCTCATCTTGGCCCGGCCTCCGCATCTCTAGGCTAGGGTTATCTGCATCTCACTGTCTGCCTGGCATCTTTGGGCATCTCCCAGAGTTCCCAAGACTCGTCTCATCCAGTTGGCTCGCTGTGTCTAGTTCCGGGCATCTCTGGGACTTGGGGTCTGTTTGTCTCTCCCCTTCACCACTTTAATCTTTCAAAATATTTATTTAGTATGTGTGCGTGCACGTTCACATGCTAAAATGTATGCGCGGAGGTCAGGCGTTGGCCTGCAGGAGTTGGTTCCTTCCTTCCACCATGTGTGACCTGGGAATCAAACTCAGGCCATCAGGCTGGGAGGGGAAACTCCTTTGCCCACTGACTCTACTCACTGTCCCCTTTTAACTTATTGTTAAGAAATGGGGGTCGTATTTTTTAGCTCAGGCTGTCCCAGAACTATGTATCACTGACTGGAACTCATAACAATCCTCCTGCCTCAACCTCCCAAGGGCCAGATAAGGTCATAAACCACCATGTTTGGTGTGTGTGGTGTGTGGTGTGTGTGTGTGTGTGTGTGTGTTCCCCCTTGAGACAGTCTCGTGCAGTCTAGACTGGCCTTGAACTCCCTATGTAGTCAGGCTAATTTCTGTCCCTCCTGGCTTCTCTGCAGGCTGGATTACAGGCCTGCGCGAGCAGACACTGTTTACGCAGGGCTAGAGCTGGAGCCCAGGGCTCTGTGTGTGCCAGGCCAGAGCTCTACCCACTGAGCTGCATCCCAGGCATTCTGGGCATCCCTTGGTCTCTTCTCCTTGGGCCCACTGAACTGTCCCAGGCGTCTGTCTCCAGCTTTGTGGTTACGTCCTCGCTGTCTGTCTCTCCAGTTCTGTTTTGTATTTATTTGCTAGCTCGTCCCTGTCTTCCTCTGCCTCTGTGTCTCTCCTCATCTCCTCTCACTTGAAGCTGTCTGTCTGTCCTTCTGTCCCTGGTTCAGTGCGTCTGTCTCATGTCTTTACTCACTGGCCCTTGCCATCTGTCACCTACACTATCTGAACCCTTCTGAGTCGCTGAGCCTCTGGGTCCTCTCTCTCCCAGGTGACATCTGCGGGGGGCTCGGGCCACCTCTGAGGACCTGTGCTGTGTCAGGGTGCAGTCACCATGGTCTTCTCAGACATTTCCTGGGGTCACTACCCCATCTCGCCTGTGTCCCCTTCTCTGGTTTGTCCATCTTCCTCTGACCTTTCCCTTTAGTCTTTCTCCTTACTCTCTCACTTTGCGATCTTCCTCCCTCCGCCCTTTATGTGTCTCCATCTCTCCTCCTTAGAACATTTTTCCCTGTCTGTCTGCCCCCTCCTCACAGCCCCCACTGAGGTGTCTCACTATGTAGACCAGGCTCATCTCAATTCATGGTGGTCCTTCTGCTCCTGCCTTTCCCGGGCATGAGTAGTACATCCCTGTCCGTGTGTCTGTCTCTCTCCTTGGTCTCCTTATTTCTCTTTTTATGCTTTGCCACAGTCTTTCCACTACAAGGTCTCAATGGAGGTCACTGCCGGTCTCTACACATAGCTCTTTGCTTTGTCTTCTACACTGCAGATGCCTCAAAGGACTCAGCTGAGACCCTCACAGGCCAGGCAAATCAGGAGAGGAAAGGACACTATGGATGACAGCTGGGACAAAGGCTCTGCTGGAAGGCATTGTGTCGCCTATCAGTAGTCATTCCCAAGGGGCTTAGGTGTGAATCTGACTTTTCTCCTGCAGACAGCTGTGTACTGCAGTCTAGGACAGTCAGAAATGAGCAAGAACTGGGAGGGGGTACTGAAGAGCAAGGAAAAAAAAAAAAAGCCTTAGGCCTGGACTGAGTTCCGGTTTGGTGGCCTGGGCAGATAGGGAGTTGGCAGGAAAGGTGGGCTGAGGCTCAGTGCTTGCAGAGGGCTGTTGACAGATCCTGTGGGCCCAAGGCAAAGCTGGGATCGGAGGCTCAGTACAGCTCAGCGTTAATCTCCTGGTGACCTTGTCGCAGCCTGACTTGCCTGCTGTCTGCCCCCAGACCCAGGGATGACTTCAGGAGTATAGGGAGGAGCCTAAGCCTGGAAGCCTGGGAATCCCAAGGAGGGGGTGCACTGGGGAGGCAGGAGTTTGGCCCTGGGCCAGCCCTGCAGCAGCGCTGCGCCTCAGACAAGGAGTCACGGAGACCTGGGGACAAGAGGCTGATCCTGAACTATGGGCTACAGGGTGGCAAGTGACCGTCTGTAGATGAGGCAGACACATGTAGAGATGCCAAGACAGCACGTTCTAAGGTCAAGGCGGAGCAGTAAGCAGCTGACAAGCATGAGGACAGATGGGGGTCTGGCAGAAATCGGGGGATCAGCTGCCCCATCCCTGAATCCCTGGGGAGCTGCAGTGTGGGTCCCTAGAGGGGCTGGGACCTGGCCTCCTGGTCTGAGGGAGGGGGATGGGGGTCTGAAGCTCATATCTGAGAAGGGAGGACTGGGAGTCTGGAACCCTGGAAGGACAGTAAAGTCCGTGTCCCTGGCAACCCAAGCCCTGGCTCCTGCTCGCCCTTGCCGTGACCAGCCTCCCTTGGGGGTGGCTTCCATCTGTTGGCATTAAGAACTGAGGCTTTCCCAAGGAAAGCAGGAAGCCCAGATGGGCACACTGCAGGGCAGGAGCACCTCTAGGCGTGGGGATATGCCTGTGTCGCTGCAGCCCGCCCCTGCGGCTTCTGGCCATTCCCATGCAGTCTGCATCCCTGACAACCCCCTGGCTCCACGGTCTCTGCCCCTCCCAGCCCCCACCCCATCGCTCAGGTGGGTTACTTATTATTTATTTGGTCTCTGGGTAGAAATGTCTTTTCCTCTCTCCATGTCAGCCTCAGTTCCTCGTTTTGCCTCTCTGTCTTTCCACATCCGTCTGCCACCTCAGTGTCTCGGCGTCCATGCCTTGTCCCTTTCTTTGCTCTTTCTCATGGTCTCTGCCCATGCCTATCTCTCCCACATCGACGTCATTTTCTCCCCCATTTCATCCCCATTTTTTAAAACCTAAGACCACCTTTCGCCAAAGCACTCTCTCTTCTCCCCCAATTTTCCACTTACCTGAAAGCCGTCACCGAATCTCATCTCCCCCTTTCCTCCCCGAGTCCTCCCCCACCTGGTTCTTCCCATCCCCCCTTACCCACCCCAACCCACATATCAGTAACTCCATCCCATCTTCATCCGCCATCTTTCTCCCCATCTTCCATGTTCCCTTTGGCTCCCCCCACATCCACCCTTTCTCTTTATCCGGTGGTCCCTCACCCACCCTCTTCCTTCCCCGACACCCCCCTCCACACCAAGTCCCACCCCAGACACACAGGGAGGAATCCAGGGCTGCAGCAGGGGTCAGGTGGCCAGTCGGGGAAGGAGGCTGCATCTGCTGGAGAGACGCACAGACAGAGAAGGACACACGGACACGGAGGCAAGGGCACAGCAGGCATGCAGGCTTCCCCCACCAAAAGGCTGCGTTTGCACGCCCTCAGCCAGGCACTTGTCTGTCAGCCATTTCTCTCTGCTCTTCCCCCTCCTCCCAGCCCTCGTGTCTGTCCCCCCCAGATTAGGGGCTGTACAAACTCTGCAGCCCCAAGTCGGTCACTGCAGATCACCCTTATCCAGGCCTGGAAGGAGAAAGAGAGGTCATCTCATGTCCATCCCATAGCCTCTATTTATCTCCATCGGGCCAGGGGACCCGGGGAGCGGAGGGGGTCTTCAGTGGCCCCCAGACACACTAGCATAGCTCTCAGACACACCCAGACGGGTTGCAGGCTTTTAGACGGAGGGGGGAGGGCACAGATGGCTGCAGACCCTGCTGCTGGGTAGAGGGAGCCAGGAGCACGCGCACGCGCACACGCACTCGCCCTCAAGCAATTGCGCTCATGCCACCACACTCATGCAACCGGCACACTAGCAACCGCACAAGGTCAAACCGAGAAGCTAAGGGCCAGCCCCCGCCCCCGTGGACAAAGCCACCAACATGCGCCACAGACCCTCTTCGACTCAGTAGCCCGCTCTCCCAGACACACACCATCACACGAGCTGGTCAGGTCAGCCGGCTCGAGGGTCCCCGCAGACTCGGCCCCAGAGCTCAGCGTACACGAGCTCCCTAACTCCCGCAAACCCAATGTCACTGGACCCCCACAATGTCCCTCTCTCTCTCACACACACACGCAGCGCCCTGCCGACCCCTGCACCTACCCCCATCTTGGCGGCTCCGTGGGAAGAGCGGCGGACAGGGTGGTGAGCGGTGGCCGCAGGGCGGGCTCAGGCGCGGGCTCGGGCTGATGGGCCTCTGCAGCGCCCGCGCCGCGGTGGGAGCGTGCGTCTGTCGGTCCGTGGGTCCCACCGCACAGAGGCTGCGGCGGCCCGGGCATCCGCCTCCTCATATGCCCGCGCCCGCGGGGGGAGGCGGCGCCCGCCAATCAGGAGCGACTCTGAGCTGATGGACAGCCCGAGGCCCGGCCCCCGGTACTGCAGCTGTACTCCCCCTCCACCCCCCCCCACCTTATCTCTGCAAAGTGGCCGCGCCACCGGGGAGCTGAGCACAGTGGGGGGTGGGGATCCCGGCCTCGGTGGGTGGTGCACCTAGAGACCCCCTTGAATGCAGGGAGGAAGCTCAGGGATGTGGGCTGTGAGGGAGGAAGCACTCCGGGAACTGCCTCTTTCTGGCAGTGGGGTGGGCACGGGGTGTGAAGCAGGCCCGCGAGCTGCCGTAATGCGGGCCCCCAGAGCACCACCATCTTGCAGTAGAGGGGGACCCCGGGAGTCTGTGCTGGGTGCTGTGTTCAGGAAGGAGATATTGCAAAAAGGGAGGCCGGTGGGGGAAATAGACAACAGGCTCCCGAATTGAGGAGGGGAGCTGCAGAGGCTGGAGGGAGTCCCAAGACCCTGCTCCTTGTCCCCACCCTGACTGAGCTACCCAGTCACACAGGACACACCAGGAGGCCCCGCACCGCTGTTAGGCACCACCACCACCACCTCCAATACACCACCACAGGCTCTCAGCCATATGCCAGTCACCTTCACGTACACCACCACTGTCCTTCAACCAGAGGCTCAAAAAAAGCGGTGGGAGGGGAACCCACGAAGAGCACACAGCTCTCACACCCACCGCATCACCACGGAACCACAGTCACGATGCGGAGAGCCCACGCCCTCAGAGCGCCACCGCACAGGCTGGAACCACACAATGCGGCACGGCTGACCTTGCACCATCTTACACCGAGAACCCACAGATGGCTCCCCTCGGCGCCATCTCACATGTATAGGGACCCACGCTTGCTTCCTCGAGGTGCCCACAGGAGCCTATGTGGGCGCTGTTGCATGTACACGACATCCAACACACCTGCATACACTGCTCCCCAGTGTGTCGGGGCATGGCACACGGTACAAACTGGACGAACATTCGCTGTGGGTGACAGGCAAAAGTGTGCATACACTTACACGGCAGCCATACAGAACTAAGCCATGGGACACCGTCCAACAGTGCACTGTCTCATACAACTCTGTTGCACTTCGAATATCCTGAAGTCCCTACCCACACACCACACCCACATCACAGTGTGTATACAGGCGCGTGCGCGCACGCGCACGCGCACACACACCCACACCCACACCACGCCCTCCCATACCCCAGGCCTGCCACACACACACAGCACCCATCAGTTCCCACACTGGAGCCTGGGGAGTGAAAACCTCCCACCCTGACACTACTTCTTTGCTCATGAGGAACATTCCAGACTCTTCCTGGGGATGCTGGGAGAAGGCAGGGTTTGGGGAAGAGAGCGAGCTCTGGCTGAGAGCTGAGAGTGAGGCTGGTGTGTGGGTCAGGGTTTGGTGCCTGTTAAGATTAAGATGTTGGCGCACGCCTTTAATCCCAGCAATCCCAGCACCTGGGAAGCACAGGCTGGCAGATCTCTGTGAGTTCAAGGCCAGCCTGGCCTAGATAGTAGATAGCAAGCTCCCAGGCAGCCAGGGCTACACAGTAAGACCTTGTTCAAAATAAGGAGGAGGAGGAGAAAACGGTAAAATGGTGCTGAGGTGGAGGATTCAGAGGATCCTGACCTCAAGGGGACATTCAAAAGGCTGAAAGTCCCAGAGAGGGGCAGAGACACAGAGAGATGGCCTTGGGCAGGAATAGATAGGACCACAGTAGAAGCAGGAAGAGGGCTCTCCCTAGCATCTAGAGCTTCATCACAACCCTGTTCTCTGGCCTGTTCGTCTCCCCTGCTGTCCCTTGTTGCCATGGTAACAGGGAGGCTGACTCTGCAGCAAAGGAGGTTGGGCCTGCAGATCAGGCTTGTTGCCATGGAGATGGGAAGAAAGAGGAGGAGCCCCATCTTTCAACTCAGGTGCACTGTTCTCAGACACCCCTTCCTCAAGTCTGTTCCTTACCCCTGGGATGCAGGGGCTGTTACCAACATTTGTCCCTCCCTTCTCTCAATATGGAGGTCTGTGGCTCATCCACAGAGGACAGGGTTTAGAGAGGCAGGGAAGGCTGGGGAGGGTTCCCTAGATCCTAGAGCCACCCCCATCCCACCCCAGAAACAGACTCAGGCTCTCTCATGCAATCCCTTCTCAGACACCAGCCTGGCTAGACTGATGACTGATGTATCACGCTCCCAGTGCTCTGCAGAAGTAGAGGGGGGAGGGAATACTTCAGAAGGTCACCGGGATGGAGGAGGATGAGAGCTCATAGGGACAGGTGGAAGGGGAGAGATACAGGCAGGAGCCATCCCAGAGCCGGAGTTAGACTCAAGACAGAGAAGAAGGGATCCGCAAAGGCAGAGATAAAAACAAAAAGCAGAGAGACCGTAGCAGGTTCAGTGAGGGTGGCAGAGACACGGGGAACCTCAGAGAGCTGGGCAGAGGGCAGAGACTTAGAGATAAAACGGGGAGAAACTCAACTGAGGACAGACCCTAGAAGAGGGTCTCGTGTTATTGGTATACGGGGAGGGGTACCAGAAAAATCCGTAACCATAGCCCCGGGGCAGGGTGATTGATCAGCCTCTTAGATGGAGCCGGCAAAGATGTTGGGGCTGGCCTGGAATGACACTCACAGCGAGAGTCTGAGACACAGAATCGGCCAAGTGGAGACCGAGGACACAGCGTGCAGCAGCCTGCATGGAGGTGCAGGGTGGGGGGCTTTGGGACGTGGCCTTCAGCCAGGGGACCACGGAAGGCTGAGCGGACTCCGGGCTGCTGCGCGCCAGGCGGGCAGCGGGGTGCTGAAACGGACAGCTCCCGAGTTCCTGCCTAGCCTGAAGGGCGGGCCCAAGCTTCTTAATCGTGTTCTCTTCCTCGTTCGGGTCCCCCTCGGTCTCCCTTTAGCTTTCTATGACTTCTTGTCTGTCACCTCAACTCCCCGGGCCCTTTACCTTTCCTTGCATTTGAGTCGCCCCCGCCCCCCCGCCCCGCGTCCCCTTCTGCGACGTCACTGCCCCCCTCTTCTCGCCTCTCTTTCCAGTCCTCACCCGTTCTGTCCTCAAGATCTTTTTCCGCTTCCCTATCCGGCTGCATCTCCCCCACCCCCGCGGCAGCTCTGTCCCTTTCCTGCTCGGCCTCGATCTGGCTCAGGCTGTGTGACCTTCAGCCGTCCTTTCTTCTCCACAGTGGCGAGGAAGGCGGGGACAGAAGGCAGACCCACCCTTCTCCCCGCTCAACCAGCCCTCTTCCCCCCCCCCCCCCCGCTTGAGGGCTGGGCAGGGACCTATAAGTTCAAGGACCAGTCGCTCTTGAAGGAGGCTCACACGTGCGACCCCCAAGTTCTCAGTTCACTGTAGCCCACCCAGTCCCACACCGACACTATAGGCGCCACCCAGGCTTTAACACACAGTTCCCAGGCTCTCCCATCCCCCGGCCCATCTGGCCCCACTCGGTCCGCGTGTTCCCTCCCAGTGTCTCCGCCCTTCCAGATCCTGCATCTCCCATCTGTCTCAGGGTCTCTGTCGCAGCCTCCTTCTGTCCTGAGCGAAGGTCAATGGAGAGGGGGCGGCTGCTGGGACCTGAGCTGACCCGCATGTTTGTCGTCGTTGCCAAAGGCGGCGAGCGTGCAAATCTCTTGTCCTCAGCAGACTCGCAGGGTCCAAAAACGCCCGTTGACCTCCCACCCCCAGAAAATGAAACCCACCTATCCCCAGTTTTGGGATTTTGTTCTTTTTTTATTCCAACAGGGACTGAGATGTGGCAGGGGGAGGTATAGGGGCCCAACTGACCCTCTCCCTGGGGGCGTCTCATAGAAATGCTGAGGTTTCTCCCCCCAAAAAAAGAGAGAAAGAGAAGGGAGGAGGGGCACCAGGGGACACCCACATGTGCAGAGGCCCTCCCCACCTCCAGAAGTGTGGAGAGCCGTGTCAAGTCTTGGGGCGTCCGAGCAGTCCCAGTTTGGGGTCCTCCCCGCGGACCGCTTTCCAACTCCAGGAGCGGCCCCCACAGTCCCCAGCCCTTGGAGTCCTCGGTCTCTGCGCTCCTCCCGCCCTCGGCGCGGGATGGGATGCGGGTGTTCGCGACACCCTCGCTTGAGTCCACTAGGGGGCGCAGGCCGGCTCCGGAGCCGGGCTCGGAATTCACCGGGAACTGAAGGCAAAATCGCGGCTTCCTGTCCACCTGGGGCGCATCGCGTCCCTGCAGTCGGTTGGGGCGCACGCCCGGCCCCGTCCACGGTCATTCGTGCTCGGTCAGCTCGCGGGGTCCGGTAGGGCCTGGCCGCGGCCGGGGCGGGCTGGTGGCTTCGGCTGGGGTGCCCAGGCCACGTGGGGTGGCCCCAGCCCCCGAAGCCCGCAGCGCCTGGATGCGCCTGCACTCCTGGCAGACGCGCACGTGCGTGCAGGGCGTGGGAGCCGCGGGCCGGGGCCCCCCGGGAGGCCCGGGGTCGTCCAGGAGGCGCTGCGGACCCCCGTGCGCGCCCGCGTCCCCGCCCGCGCCGGCCGAGTAGAGCTTGCCGTTGCTGAGTCGCATCTCGCGGACTGCGCGCAGCGACAGCAGGGCCCGACTCGGGCCGCCCGGGCGCCGGCGCCGGCGGGAACGCGAGGTCTTGCGGCAAGACACGGCGTGGCGCAGCTCCTGCAGCATCTCCTGGCACACCGACACCTGCGGGCGGCAGGGCGGTCACCGCGGGGCACTCGGTGCCCTCCCTCCACGCCCCCTTTCTGCACCTTCCCCCTCTCCTACCCACTCCTCACCCTCCCCCCAATTTTGTTCCCTTAGCCAATGCTTATTTTCTGTAACACACACACACACACACACACACACACACACACACACACACACACACACGCCTCTCAGTTCTATCTTTCCTTGGGTTTGTTCCTGAACCTGCCTTTCATTCTCTAGCTCCTGCCTTTTCACACACTATTTTCTGCCTGCCC